ATATATATATATATATATATATATATATATATATATATATATATATATGATGCATAACATTGTAATAACATCCTGTATAATAAATCAAAGAGAATAAATAACTGCAAGATATACATGTAAGTACATAAACTCGTGACAACTTTCTCAAGAACGTTCTTGCAAGTTGGCTTGTAATTGGACAATATTATAGATACGCATAGAAACACATAATTCTAATTAACCGTAACAGACCATCAATTATATCAAGTCTCAATTTACAATTATTTTAGTGGAGCAGCGGTTGCATAACGATCATTTACTTTATTTATTTCTCCGTCATAAAGGGAACACGACTCAACTCTCTCTCTCTCTCTCTCGGGTCTAAATCCGACAGATCTGAATCAATATCAATATACTATAAAATTTATATCGGTCACCAAACGGAGACCGAGGCGGTTGTAATGGGTTAAAGCGCAAGGAGAACGGGTCGCGGATAGATCGATAGATCATTCACGGGTGGAGGGCGAGGGAGAGGAGAACGAATCGTTCTAAAAAACCCAACCATCGAGATTAAGACGAAAAAAAGAAAAAAAAAATCTCGTCGAGGAAAGCAAAGTAAGTGGAACAGGTACCGTTTCCCCTTTCGAACCGTCGCGTGTTCTTTCGATTCCACGATGCATTATTTTCGTTCATCGACGATCAAGATTCTTCCATCGATTCCCATTAACCATTTGTTCAACCATTTTGCTTTAATCAAGCTAATTATTTGACGATTCGAATCGATTTCCGCGATTTCGCGCTCCAATTAACCAACCGCCCCAACCAGGATCTAAATAATCGATTTAAGCGAATTTACGTCACAGAGTTCCGATCACGGCTGGGTCGTAGACCGGCAAAAGGAAAAAAGAGGAAAGGATCGCGTAAAAAGATCGGTAAAAAAAGAATTCGCCGTGCGCGCGAAATGCTTTCTCCTTTGATACACGGTGGAAAGTGGCGTGTACGAAATCGAGAGGGTCGATTACGGTGTCGTTTCTTTCGAAGGAAATCGAGAGTCGACGGGGAAGGAAAGAGGAACGCATCGAGGTATGCCCGATCGACAGAGAAAAATTATACAATCGGCACGTGCTCTTTCTCCTCGTAACGCGCACGGAGTCACGTACAGGTCTGCGCTTTCCATCGCGATCGCTTCTCGGAAACGGCTCGTTTTTCCTTCTAACCCGTCGTCGGCTAGGCGAGGCTGGCTTCTCCCGTTTCATCGATCTCTGCTTCGAAATCCGACCGATTTCCATCATCGAAGCTCGAACGATACTCATCTCGAGAGAGAAGCGGAGGAACGAGTGTGATCGAGAAATCGCGTTACACATACGTACAGGCAGATTCAGAAACACGTATCGATATTTACTTACTTAAGAATCTAAAAACTCTTTCTTTCTTTCTCTTTCGCATCGAGTACTCTGTGAAAAATAAAGTATTTCCTCGAATACGTAGTAAGTCAAATCCTTTTTTGTCTTTTCTTCGTATAAAATTTATACGAAACTTTTTGTTCACTTAGGTGTTAGGTGTAGTATTTATACTCCAAGTAATGACACGTATCCCTGAATTAGCCTGTACGTTCGCGAGGCAAATTGACAGGTCTCGAGGTGCAACGTGGAATGGAAACGAGAGTAGAATCGTCGAACGTGTCTCACGATTCGATGCGTCTCTCTCCTTCTGCAAGACAACCATCCTTGTCCCTTCTTACGCGGCCCATGCTCGCCTTCTTTTCTCTTTCTACTCCGATTTCGCAATACGCCAGTCCCACGGGGCCACAACTTCACTAACCGTGGCATAATTGAACTCTGCCTCTTTACGATCCGTAACGCGGAAATAATCGTGACGCTTTCTGCTGCATGCGAAATTCCAGAAATATCTTTTCCCTCTCCGTGCACCGTGAATGGGCAAAATTTCGCGGTTCAAGTTAAAAATAACGCCGCTTCGATGATTTATTGCTCGAAACATCGAATAATTTTAACGAGTGATTATACTCCAACTAACTTTATTCGAAAATTTTAACTCCTTTTTCAACTCGGTCCTCCGATGGAGAACGGCGGGAAAATTATTATACTATCGAAGCGAACGTTGAACCACTTAAAACGAGAGAACGATCGAATGGCGTTGCGGACAAAATGCTTTCACGATTTAATCGGTCAGTACGTGGTCAGTCAAGAAGAGCGATCAATCAAAGTTACGATTCTCCATGTTAGATAATCGTCTGGATAATTAATAACCCATCAACCGCGAAACCATCTCGTGCATTCTTTCTTTTAGCTAATATTTCTCTAACGTTTATATGCGGTACATTACCGGTAAAAAGTTCGAAACCACTTTTCTTACAATCTTTTTGATTAATTTTTTCCTTTCTTTTTTTTTTTTAGCAAATCAAATATCAGCGATCATAATTTAAACTTTTTACACGTAGATTTTCCCGCGCTTAATTAAAGTTTTAATTTTCGAGAAACATTCTTTGATGATTGCGAATTTTTGGACGATAGTGTAGCCCAATTCTATTCTAAACCGTTCGGCCAATTTGGCAACAGGCTCCACACTCTGCAAGATATAACGTCAGGCAATCCCGATAATTTCGCCCCGGATTACGGATCGTAATTCAGCCGAATGTCGTCACACGATGAATATTTGTAGCGCTCCCAACGGTAACTGGCACGTGGGAACTGCAACCTTCAATCTGTTACGGTAGGAAATTGCATAATTTGTAACAAGTTACGATGAAAGGAACCGGGTAGCTGGCGCGTACCCGTGTATCGATCGTGGCCTGTCGCGTGAATCGGTTCCTTGTTTCTGACCACTTGTATGCAGGAAGAAAGAAAAGGAGAATCGAATAAAAGGAATGTAGAGAGAAAGAAAAAGAAAAAAATCCGCGAAACGTACACCTGAATGCGGAATCGAAAGGCCAACGAGCCTTATCGAATAAATGTAAGGAAGTGTGAAATTTAACGATCGTTCTCGATTACCCATCTTCGATAATTCAATCATTTCGAATATCAACATTGTCTACGCACATTTCCGTATCTTCTTATGTAATATATCTTTGTTGCTAGAATCGAGTAACACGTTCTCTTCGTTTCGATATTAGTGTATTTCGATATCTACTTGTATAGCTACTTGTGTATTTTTCTTTTTTATCAAATTTAATCGTCGATAGACTGTTGATATTACGTTGATATTGCAAAATAGGATTGGAAAACATTGGAGATTTCTAAGAATCATGATTTTTTTTTTTAGACGACACTTGGGAAGAAAATCTCTTTAAGAACATCACGAAAAGAAGAAGAAGATCCTTCTTCCAGCGAATGATTTTTCCAGCACTCACCTTCATCCCCATCACATGGAAATAGAAAATTGCAAGTTCATTCAAATGTTGGAAAAAATATCTTGCAAGAATCTGATTTATATCTTCGAGAGCATTTATACACGTTTACAAATTACACGTAACGAGGGATGGAAATATGGACGAATGAAAGTACAAGTTAGCCGAGAAAAGGAGATATGTTCTTACCGTAAGACCATCCGACCACGTCACCGGTCCTCAAGTTTTCCGTTCTCAGCCAATCTTCGAGGGGCCTGAAGTATTCTCTGAGGGCAGTCGCGTCCAATTTGTCCTCGCCGATGGCTTCCCCAAGCGTCTCCTGCCAAGGCACCGAGGAGCCCCTCTCCATGATTTTTCTGCGAACAACAACCGCGCAAACATTGCACTTTTCCACGGAATGGAACGCGGGAAAATGGGTTCGCGAGAAAGGAAAACGCAACATCACCGCGGAGACTAAAGCTCGTTGCTTTGTCGCTGTTCAACGGAGATTATTGCTCGTCGCTTTCTCGAGGGATTGTCGATTGCGACAAACGGCGCGGAAAAAAAAAAACATAATGGCGCGCGATTCGAAAAATCGAGGGCGAGGAAAATCACGCGTATTGAATTGTGGGACGAGAGAAAAATAACGAACGCGTAACGAGCCTTTCTTTCCACTGCATTAATTAGACTATCTTTGGCAATCAGCCCCGCTTTGAATCCGCTCGAAACGCGTTCGATTGCCGCTCGCTCGATTTCACGATGGGTGTGCAACACAACTTTTGCTCGTTCATATGAGTTACGGCGTCGAATTAATTCTGCCTCGTGCAACAATGTGCCAAGAAACGGCGGGAAAAACAACCACCGGCGGTGGTGCAACGTGGAGGCCGAGATATGAATTTTAAGGGTTTGAAAAAATTCTTCGTGAGAGGAATTTTTTAAAAAGAAAAAGAAAAAAAAAGTTTCGAGACAATCGGGGATTAGTTGTGATTTTGTCTACTCTTTTCCAGTATTAATTCGCACCGCGTGACTTCATCGAAATCGATCGTGACGTGTCCATAACAGTTCAGAGTAATAATCTCGTTCCCTTTATGGATTATCCGTGATTTAATCTTACCCGTTTCCACTTCTGAGTTCTTTGCTTTCGACGATCGTTACAATCATTATTGTGGAGAACTTTATGTATGTCATTCCTGAGTAAGTCTGTTAACTATTCCTATCGTCAGACGACTCGGAATTTCAGATCCTCGTAATTTTCCATATATACAAAATATACGTTCGATCTTTAATAAAATTCGATATATTTCCTCGTCAAAACTACTTCTTCTTGCGACACCGAATAAACCACGTTCTCCACGACTATCGACACAACGGCCAACAGGAGAAAGATTATGAGCCGAAAAAGACAATCTCAGATATCCATTTAAATACAATGGGTGGAAATATCGAGAAGAAATCCTGTCGATGGATCGAAATATCTTCCTTGCGGCATTGCCAGCTACCTGTACCGAGAGAGAGAGAGAGAGAGAGACTCGAGCGAACTTTTTCTTCGAGAGAACCGTTAAGAAAAGAAAAATCGTCATCCAATCGAGTTACGTGATCAGGGGAGAGTTTCGTTGTTATTCGAGCTTCTCTCGTCCAATTCCTTTCCTGCTTCCTTTGCCGATCCGAGACAGGCGATACACGCTCTCGTCGTAATTCTGGTTGCCCCGATACACGACTACAACGTTACATAAAACCAGCTTAATCTACCGTAAGGGGGGATTTGTTCGACCGATGGCGGCCTTTCCACGGATGAATCGAGATATTTCTTGCGTAATAGGGTGGATCGAGTATCCATGGTGCGTGGAAGCTCGCAAGATTTTACCTAAACTCGTGGCCGTTCTCGCGAACCACCGAAACCACGGATCGACGGATGAGATCGAGGAAGCGCGATTCAATCGCGAGAAAGTAAAATCGAGAAATGAAATTGTTTCCAGAGGAAATGGAAATAATCGTGGCTGGCTGCTTCGAAGAGGAGGCTTCGAATAACGAGCAATGCGAATAATATAATTTTGGCGAAAAACGCAAGAAGTGGAAAGCGTGTGGAAAGCGTCGATTTCACGAAAGTGAAAAGTCGCGACGTCAGCCTCGGTGATATAACTAACTTTTTTTTTTTGGAAAGCGATTCGGATGCAGGTCACGCGCGGCTTCCGGTTCCTTCGAGAGCAGGCCACGCCTCCCGTGGGAATCGACGAGCAAAAATATTTCGGTATTGCCCCCCGGTACTGCAATTTGTTTCGATCTCACAATTTCCGCTCATAACGAAATCCTTTCCACTTTCCTGTCTCCCGACCTACCCACATTTCGCAATATACTCGGGATGCTGGCTCTACTTCTATTTAACACGTCGCTCATTGAATCATGCTCGTAGATTCCTAGATCCTAGATCCATCCTAGATACTGGATAATGGAAAATTTCCAAAGTCAATTTTAAACTCGTCACCTTGCTCTCGATAAAAACGAAGTTAAACGAAATTATGACTCGTTCGGGATCGAGTCGATTAGGTAAATTAGAGAAAAAAGAAAGAAAGAAAAAAAGAGCACTTCGCAACGCGTCTAGGTTTCCAAGAATTCTCGCTCTTGGTGTTGCCATAGCGATATCGATCCTTGGAAATTTGATGAAGGGTTTTCCGGATTACTCGAGAGCATATTCCTTTCAAGCCTCGACCAAGCAACACTCCTCCGTCTTCTCCAATTTGAACCGGCGGTCACCATTGTTTTCCCAATGAGGATCCCACAACCAATCACTTCCATTCTCCTTCTCGTCGTGAAATCGAGTCACGAGTCTCGCTACCGTTGTTCTACCGTCGTTTTAAGGGTTGAACCGTGACACCGTGGTGTGGGAAACGCGTGTCATTTGGCCAAGGATTATCGGATACGGAAGACGGAAACGAATGGAAAAATTGAACATTTTTGAGAGAATCGTTTATGAAAAAAATCTTGAGAGAAAAGGGAAGCGATAAGTGGAATTTCGAATTTGGGAAACGTTGGTGACATTTTTCAGAAGTGAAAGGAAATGCTTGAAAATAAATTGGAAACGTGAATAACCGTTTTAATTTATACCGTAAGCTAAAATGATTATTTTTGAACAAATTAATTAATGTAGAAACGGAGCGTTTCAATTAAGAAATACACGTTGAACTTGATCCCATCACCGAGGCAGAATGTTTTCGTTGTTATTGGAAAATGGTTTTCGCACGGCGGCCACGACCGGTTGCTCAACCCGAGGCGCTTTCGAAACGCGATGCACCGGTGCCAAGGACGAATCATCCATTTGCATAAATTTCAATCGATTTCTGTTTAATCAGATTCGTCGATCGACCGTGGAGTTGTGTAATTGGACGGAATCGGTCGGTCCCGTTTGTAATCCCTGAATTTTAATAATCGTAAAATGCAGCTACGATTTCTCGGCGTGTTCCGTAACGTGGCCGAGTGTGAATTACGCGCAAGTAATTTGTAATGCGAAAGAACTTTGTTTTTATGAACTGGTCACGGGGAAACAAGCGCGTAACGAGGTTTTCCTATATATAATAAAACACATATTTCTACTCTTTGATGTTTCTTTCAGAAATAATAAGAATCCACGAAACGTTTTCTCTGAAATATTAAATATAATAGATATCCGGTTACTGTATGTGATGCATTCCGCTCGTACGTGATAAACCAAGTTTCATTGTGTGTACAAGTAATTCAGTGATATTTATGTACATTCGGTGTTTCACGCTCGTATAAATAATCTCGTTCCTCGATCGGATAATTACGGTTGTCGCGATTATTATCGTCATTAATAAACATGTAAAAAGACATGGTTAAAATTATCGTTACGCTTTACGTAATAGGAGGGACGAGTATAATATCAAAAATACCTGTTCTCTTCACCCAATTACTCTCTCATCATCCGAACTCGAGCAAATTCTCGTTCGCAAATTGCACACGCGAAATCGCTTTAATGCTTCTCGAACAACTTTCCACAATTAAAAAAAAAAAAAAAAGAAGGAAAAGAAAAGAAAAATAAATAAATAAAATTTCTATCCATCATCGAATTTCAAACGAGTCATAATAGGATAAGTTTTCAGGAAGTGAAGAAATCCTTTCCTGAAATATATATATATATATATCGGCTCTTTTTCAATCTTCCTCTTCTATTTCTTGCAGACGAGAATAAAATTACAAAACGGAAGTGGAACGGGTAACGAGGCTCACCGCGCCAGTTTCTTCGTGCAACTGCGTGTACGAGACACGCGCGTGTTTTTACGCGGCTGCAATCGGTTTCGTAACTGCGTCCGCAAACGCGAGAGATCGTCCTTCGGTTACAGGAAGTCGGGTCTTTGGACTATCGCCCGGCTGATTTATCGAACGAAATGGCGCCATAGATGCATCGAATATTCCTCCTTTTTTTTTTCTATAAGAGAGGGAGAGAGAGAGAGAACGATTTTCCTCTCTCTCGCGAAAGAAAAAAGCTTGCGATTAAAAATGAAAATTAGCAGCTTATTCTTCACGAGCTTTTTTTCAAAAAGAAGAATCGAAGGTGCGCGTGGACAAGAATAATGAATTTCGATAGAAATGCTTACGAAATGTAGAAGCGAAGCTGAAAGTGGGAAAAATAAAAATGTTGGAACGGAAATAATCGGAAATTGATTGAAACTCGAACGATCCATCTTCTTCGAAAACGTAGTGTTCTGGTTGCGCAATCAGTTTAAGAGTAAAATTTCATAATCGAGCGGAGTATGCGCAGTTAAGCTACTGCTAAATGGATAATTTCTTCGTGGCAGAAATCAGTTGCAGATTCTCCCAAGCGATAGAGGCGATTTATTATCGCTGGTTTCACGTACTGACAGTTGCATCGGCTTTAATTGCTCGTTCCTCGGATATTTCTTCATTTCGCCGCTCACGAGGAACGAAAGCTGCCGCGTGCCGTCGTTTAAGTTCTGATGTTTCCATTTAAGTATCGAATCGCGAAAAAAAAAAAGAAAAGAAAGAAAGAAAGAAAAAAATTTGGAACGTTTTATTGAATTTTTAAAGAATCTTTTAAAGAATCGGTAGATGTATCGTGTCTACAAGTTGTCGTTAATCATTTACAATAAACTTGTATAATATTACTTTCGCGATGAATCACGGTTTAACGATTAAAAAATATCAGAATTCAGAGGGGAAGATATTTGATTAAAATTCAAAATTGATAGGGACGGATGGACAAGTCAAGGAACGAATTGGCAATGAAATTGGCCAAGGCGAACAAAGCTTTTCCTCCCGTTGACCCAGATTACGTTGACTACCGGAGATTGTTAAGGGATCGGATCGCCGCAAGATCGATATAATAGCTCTTTTCCGATTGTATCTTCCACGCGATATCTTCGACCTCTGTGCACACCCACGCGCCTCACATCAGACGAGAAATTTCTTTTTCAGACTTTTCCAAGAGTATTCCTCGTTTCGTTCTTCGACCAAGCTTGAAAATATTTCCTCGTTATCGATCGTATCGATATTGCTCGTCTTATCAGAAAATTTGAATCTGTCCATTGAACATTCCGATATTGCTTTTAATCCAATAATTTAATAAAAGAATATATATATATAAAGAATTTCGATTTTGAGTATACGGATAATCCGATATTACTTTTTAATTTATATAATACAAGTTTCTCTATAAGGGTTTTTTTTATTCGAAAAATACATGGAATATCTTTTGTATCGTTAAACGAATTGATGTATATTGAGTGTCCCGAGTGATTTACAACTTATGAATTCTTACACGCATGGATTCGTATGCGGTTTTTCTTGTGCCACCTCTTGTGACGGGGTCTTCGTTTAACAAATGTCCCATCTGGTCTATTTGTTCGTTGTTCGTCCGCGAGGTGAGTGAAAGTGCTCGAGCGCGTAATTGATTAACAATTACAAACGAGATTCCTATGATATTTTATTTTTCTTATTTTCTACAGAGAAACTTATTTTTCTACGGATCAATCTCTGTAGATTAATTACTAGAATTTTTTTGACAGAATTTCTAAGAATTAAAAAAAAGAAAAGAAAAAGGTATCGATAAAATTCGAAAATTTCTCGAGTCGAAGATAGTATTGATTTTTTCACACGTAACAGCTTACACGAGCAAATAATATATCACTTTCAAATATAGTTGAAATCTATAGTGACCTACTCTTGAAGACAGAGAAAGAGAGAAATTTAATTTTGCTTATTTTTTTTTTTTTCATTATAACGATAAAAAATACGAGTTCCGAAATTCGATCAATTCTCGTATCAATCGATTTATACATATATCTCTTATTAACCGTCTCCCCATTTTACAAAATACTTTATTCCTTCGAGTTTTTTTTCAGGGTTAATGTGACCGTTTGCAACATCGAAGGTACGATATTGTATGGTAACATAATTCGCGAGAAATTGAAGTAGCCGATAATATCACACGGATGACACGACGATTTTTCAACTCTCGCGTATAAGTTTTTCGCAATCGATCGTTCGTTCACGTAAGCGATCCACGACGCAATTTTAATAGGGCTGTTCCGTGTAAGATTCTATCCTCATCGCTGTTTATTTAACAAAGATTACGGAATTCCAGATATCTCTTTCTCTTCTCGTTTCGTCATCTTTGACGAATTTCGGGGAATAGAAATAGGAATAAACAAGTTTTACAATTTTGTAACTTTTGTATGGTGCTTGTAAAAGATTCAAACGCTAATAATTAATCGATCGTCGAATAATTTTAAAATTAATTTTAAAATTATCGTCGAATTATGAAAAATTGATCGTTAAATTATATTAATTTTTAATCGCGAGAGAAGAGGATATTCGAATATCCACGATTAAAAGTGTCCATGCGTGTGGAAAATTTTTGGCGTCAGCTTTGAATTTTAATCAGGTCAGAACGTTTTCGGCGACAGATTCTTCGCCGATCTGTCCGCGCGTCTGATTTAACCGGGTAAATTCTTTTCAGACTACGATCGAGAAAAATTAGGAAAATAACAGTCGAATTCAACTACTTTTGAATATATTTCGCGCAAAGTATTCTTCGTTTCATTACGTTGGAAAATATTTAATGAGGGAATATTCGAATCGAATTCTTTTCCCAATTTAAATATTCAACGAAACGAAACTGTTCTTTTCCCTATCCCCTCGATGCAATCTCGGGATTACACGCGTCAAATATTTTTCCCATCCGCTGTTATGGTCTCGGTAAATTTACAACCGGGCTTGTTATTAAATCGGCGTAAAAATATTTTAAAAGATATTCCTTTCCTTTCGGAATTCGCCAACTGGTAAAAAGCAAACATCATTTTCTCCTTCACGTGAACCATAACTTAGAAATGTATTATCTAACGTTCGATATCGATAAAAGCAATGTAGAAGAAATGTTCGTTTCTTTAAATTATCACAGGGTGAGTCGTCTCGTGACTCTATTTCAAATAAATCGTAAATTATTACTTTTTATGAAATGTCTTTTCGCGTCACAATTTTTACAAAATCCAAGTTAATATATAATCCCTTCTAAATAATAATATCTTCTACCAAGAATGACTTAGTTAATTTTTATCACAAAAAATAACAACAATTTATATATAGCGATATAATGGAATCATTTCATTCAATCCATTACGTATCGAAATGTCTATTCGTAAGAAAAAAAAAAAAAGAATTATATTCCTTCTCTTCAATGCAATTTTCGTACGAAAAAGTCTTTCACGAGGCGAACAATTTACATAATATCTCGAGACGATCCGCGACACATTATACACAACCGTAACATCTTAAAGTGATCCATCGATGACCATCAAGACACATCGAGAAGGGAAAGTATTTCGCTTGTTTGCGAAATCGGAATTTTTTCTATCGATTATTTAATCGTTATATCGCCGAACTTGTGGACTTTCTATGAACGAGGAGGCCGCGTCCAAACTGGCACTAATGGATTATTCAGATTCGTTAACAGGGATCCTCGAGAATTTCGTTCGCAGACACTTTTCGTGCCGTTTCCTCGTCAATCCCGTTACTCCCCCCTCTTCTCACCACTCCGTATTTTCTGCATTTTTCGCCGAGACCGGACGTTAAAGCCAACGTTTTCGTTGATTCGTTATTCGCGATGGAGGAGAAACAATTACACGGTTCGGCGTGTATTTATCATGTCGTTGAGAAAGTGGTTCGCTTTTCGTTATAAGGTTATAACGACGAGTTATAATGACGAGTCGGTTCGAAATATTTCTGGAGCTCGCGACTTTTTACGAGAAATTATACAAGGTTTTGATTTTACCTCTTACCTAACAACTTGCGATCCAACACGCACGTTTTCTTGTACACGATTCAAGGATTTCTCGCTTTCGTGAATCTCCGACGGAATTGTAAAAATTTTGTTCACGTATCAATAAATCAATATTTCATTCACAAATGATCTATTAAAATTTAATCAAGTATCGTTTAATTAAATATCAACGATGTATTTAATTTGCCAAAACTCACCCTAAAATTCTTCCAGCTTCCGGGCTCCTGTAAAAGTCGCACCTGTGCAGAGGCCTCCTAAAATCGTCCACGCTCCTTTGTCCAGCGGCCTGACACAGCGCGCGATACAGTTGGAACTGGAGAACCCCTGCCACGAAATTCCTGTAAAATACAAGCGAAGTTGTGAATTTCTCGTATTCGATTTCCACGCGCATCAACGATACATGTATCGTGCATCGATCAAATTCGCATTTTCGAGAAACACGGCGATCGAAAATTTAAATAATCGAGAAGAGGGGAAAAATCGAACGATCGTTTGACGAGGATCTTTTCGAAGAAACGGCGCGAGACATGTCATCTCAATCGTCAAGGTCAGTGTCAACGAGGTCGCTATTCGCGATTCCTTTCAACGGGAGGTCGCGCTCGTTCCTCCTCCTCTTAGGATAGATCTTCTCCTCCGAGAAAGGTAACACGATGAAAGCGAGGAGGGAGGGGAAGTTGGAAACGAGACTCTTCATCACGAAGACGACCTTTACGTAATAAACGCGAGGATCATTCTTTCTGGAGCTGGTTGTTGTTGTTGTTGTTCGCTCGCCCCAGAAGTTCGTCAACTTTCAACATCTGGAAGAAAGGGGTCCTAGCCTCTTGGAAAATCAGATTCTCGACAGGAGGAGCCGTTCGATAGTTTCATAACGAGCGTAATTACACGCCGTGGCTCGCCTCTTTTATGACCGAGATTCCCCTCCTCCTCCTCGTTTTCGCTTTCGCGCGACATCACTTTCATCGATGATTCGCTTTATTTTAATATCTCGGAGAAATATCTCTCTCCTCCTCTGACTTATATCGAATCGTTTTATTTTTCTCGCTGATCAACAGCTTTCAACTCGCCGCCGAAAATTTCTACATCGATATAAATAATATTCTCGTACAAATCGAACGATTGTAGCTATCTTTCTTCCTCGTTTTTTAAATCTACGCGATCAATCGAGTCAAATCTCTTGGATCAATATCAATTTTTCGATAAAGTTATTCTTAACACGATCGATACGTGGTTAAGAATTTATTGTATACGCACACTGTGCAGGTCGAAAGGAACAACTTTTGAAAATTTCTTTTTACAAATAAATTGCATACGTAAAAATTTATCGACTGGACATGGCGTGATCCGCACAAGTTAAAAGAAACTTGAGGAGAATTATAATAAAATTCTGTTCTATTAAACTATACTACATTTCCGATTTCCATCTTTGAATCTGTCTTAAGCTGTATCTCTTGCACGGTTGATGCAAATGCATTTGATGAGTTTCTATAAATGTTTATGCGAGGCGTTAAATCGCTGTCCGCCTCCGTTCGTCTCCTTCTCATCTCACACGCGAGGTTGACATTATTAATCAAGAATAATGAAATAAAGTAAAGGATAACACGCGGGATAACAAGAATTTTACATTGCTACGCCTCTATAAAAGATCGGATAAAAGATCGAAATTTAACGCCGAAAAACAAGGAGGCAGAGGAGGGACGTACGTTCAGGAGAGGCATACTTGAAAGCATCGAAAAATGATTGAAATCGATCGTTATCACGCTTACGAACGTGACCAAGAAAGGTGAAATTGAACGAAAGGATAAAAAGTCTCTGCGCGGAGAGATTACCTAGCCGTATAGAATACTCGTATCCCGGCGAATCTTTATCGATTGACCTTTGAATTCTACCCACGTGGCTAACTGAGATAAAAATCCAAGCCTCTAAGAATCGAAGATAGAGGTATTATCCGCTGTCCAAGGTAATGAAAATGAGTTAGACCGGTGGAATGGAAGGAGAGAAGAAACCTTCACTGTGAATGATTGGATTCAACGCGTATCCTTCGTTTCAGAAAAAAATCGAAACATGTACCAAAGTTTAATATCGTAGTTGGAGAATCGTAAAATTTTGATCTTTAGTATTTCTCTCCCGTTAGATATAATATTTTAATCGACATCGCCACGATTCCCACTTTCGAATCTTATCCTTGTATATCGACTTTTTCAATCATCGTCCATCTTCGCACGTACGAGGGGATTAGCTATACTTGATACTTATTATTAAACCAGAATTGCACAATATGCTTGTCCGAAGAAGAAGCATCTCGGATTCAGCGCGGATAATTTAGTTAATCGATACTTTTTATACCTTGTTATCGATCGATTACCTACTAATTTTCCACCATCTAATTCGATAATTTTTTACGAAATTTACGTATGCAGAGCATAATTATTATATACGTAGATTATACTGAGTTTTTTTCTAGAAATTGTTTTTTAATGACTCACCTCACCTATTATATATAAAAAAGATTGGAGATTCGTTTCATCCTCTCGAAAAGAAGAAGAAGAAGAAGAAAAAAAGAAACTTTTATCAGTCATACGCATCCAATACATTTTAACAAAAATATTGATTAAAATTCTTTCGCACAAACGCACGGATTCCTTATTTAAAAACTTGGAAGATAGAAAGGAAAAATTATAACTAATAAATAAAGTATGGTACTGGTACGGACAATACGGACCACTACGATACGAACGAATAATCAACTCGTTCGCCTTCCAACAGGTTCGTAAAAGCATCGCCAATCATCAGTTTCCCCGATCGTATCGCCACGCACCCATTACATAACGATCTCTCGTGTGGAAATCGAATAAACATCGATCCACATTACATTAGAGCGTTTCCAGCAAGAGCAAGAGTGAGGCCGCGACGTGAGAACGACGCAAGAAAACGGAACCGGGCTGGAAAAAGAGAGGGGAAATCGTGACGTAGGACCGACCGCGTGTCTCATGAAAGGGAGCAATCGTGGTTGCACCCACGAGAGATAGATTGACGGCGGATAAATCCTTGCGGGTGAGCAGCTACGGGCGTAACCGTCCAGGTTGCCTCTCTCGGTCGAGAGAGGAAGGGCGGAACGGCGCAACAAGGGAAGGAAGGGAAGAGGATCGATCCAAAGATTATCGTGCAACGATTATCGCCAACGGCCATGAAAGGGGGGAAAAAAAAGAAAAGAAAAAGTTGCGAGAATTCGAAATCGCTTGCGAGAAATCGCCAACAAATCGATTCGAATATCGCTAACTGTTGTTATGTTATGTTCCATCATCCTCGAGGAATCGATCGTGGTTTAGGAAGGGTTGGGTCGAGGAAATGCACGGTGTAGTGAAAATAGAGAGATATTTTTCAACGCGTCAACAGGTTGGAATGTGAGTTACGCGCAGTCGGAAGTTGAGGTTGCAAAGAAAGGTAGGAAGGAGATTTTTTTGTGTGCAACATTTGACACGTTAGATTTTCCTCTTATTCTTCTTCTCTCCATCCTTTAACGAACCCTTCAATCCTCCACTTATCCCTTTTAGAGCGACTAATTACTTAAAAAAAAAAAAAAAAAAATGAAATAAACGAGACTCGAAATTTAGAATCTCCTCTGACACGCGGCAAGCGTGAAGCGTTTCGAAAAGACGTTTCGCGACATCGTTCGGAAGGATCCGAACACGCGTATCCCAAAGAAAAACCTAAAAAAAAAAAAAAGAAAAAACCGTGTATCCGAAAAAATGAAAATAGAGGCAAAGTTGGAAGGTGTTGTCTAGCGGTGGAAACGACTGACGCACGGCACATCGGGGGGATACCAGATATCCGCATAACAGCGGGACCAAAGGAAGGTAGGGGAGGGAGGGAAGGGATCCGTGGTAACGAAGAAGAAAACGAAACCGTTGGCCAAGGAGAGGGACGTTTTCGAGAGGCGTGGGGAGGCGAGTCGTGCGTCTCCCAAAGGGGAGTGGTAGCACGGCCGATCGTGGTCGTTCTACGCGAACAAAGAGGTGTAACGTGGGGGGTACGGCGTGTCGGGCCCGGGTGGCGAAGGCGAAAGTATGCCGCGTATATAAGGCGACGAAGCAACGGCAATCAGCATCCAGTTCACTTCTGGACGCACCTGGAATATCTCGAGAGCAAAAATGAGAGTCCTGGTACGTGGTTACGCGGAGAAGGAAACGCCGCCCGTTGAAACCGGAACACAACGACGCACGGTCTGCGAGCAGTGACGAGACCAAAAAGAGAACCGCGTTTTGCGCACCGCAAGTGAATGATTTCCGTCGAGCTGTCAGTGACGATCGATAGAGTTGTCCGCGTCGGGCAGTTTGTCACTTGTCCTTCCCGAAACGAGATCCAAAAAAAAAAACGTACAATCAGTATAATCTCGGGGTATCCTTCGACTCGAAGTCGATCGAAGTGATTGACTATCCCAGGTAGACTAAACTCGTATGAGTTGGATACCTGGTGAAATCGGTGGATCGAAAACCATCGATTTTTTTTACTATATATATTCTATTGGATATATATAGGGATTTTTGGTCTCGAAAATGGCGAGCACGATCCGTTTTCAACCGGTTTCAACAACGGAGATTTCGCTCTCGTTTTCCGAAGCGTCGGTCCACCAGAACGAGAGACGCTAACGATTCGACGTGGTTTTCCAGGTCTACGCAACGGCGATAGCTCTGCTGGTTACATCGGCACGGGCCGGCGAGGAGGAGAAGGCGGCTGAGAAAGCGGAGGCCGAGGTGGAGGACAACAAATCGACGAAGAAACAAGAGAAACGCGGCCTGTTGGGGCTTGGCTACGGGTACAGTTACGACGGTGGCTACGACATCGGGATCGCAGGGCACGGCGGCGGCCTGGAATTGGGCGACGCGTACGGCGGTGGTTACATCGACGGCCACGGTGTACACGAGCACGTCAAGGCCGTGACAGTGGTGAAGAACGTTGCCGTCCCGTACCCGGTCGAGAAGCCTGTCCCCTATCCCGTGGAGAAACACGTGCCCTACCCCGTCAAGGTTCCGGTACCCCAGCCATACCCGGTCGAGAAGCCATATCCGGTCAAGGTTCTCGTCAAGGTTCCGGTCCACGTGCCCCAACCGTACCCCGTGGAGAAAAAGGTCCCGTACCCGGTCCACGTGCCCGTAGACCGCCCCTACCCCGTCAAAGTCTTGGTACCGCAACCCTACCCGGTGGAGAAGCACGTGCCTACCCCGTCAAGGTACCGGTCCCCCAACCGTACCCGGTCGAGAAGCCAGTCCCGGTCCGGTCAAAGTCCCGGTCCACGTGCCAGCCCCGTATCCCGTGGAAAAATTGGTCCCAGTCAAGGTGCCCGTCGACCGCCCGATCCACATACCGGTGCCCAAACCGTACCCGGTGCACATCGAGAAGCCGGTCCCCTACCCGGTCGAGAAACCGGTGCCGGTCGCGGTCAAAGTGCCGGTCGACAGACCGTACCCGGTTCCGGTCGAGAAGCCTGTCGCCGTGCCGGTGAAGGTGCCGATCCCGCAGCCGTATCCGGTCGAGAAGCCGGTCCCTTACCCGGTCGAGAAGCCCGTTCCTTACGAGGTTAAGATTCCAGTGGACAGACCGTACCCGGTCCATATCGAGAAACCGGTCCCCTACCCGGTCGAGAAGCCTGTTCCGGTCCCGGTCAAAGTGCCGGTCGCGGTTCCGGTGCACCACGGTTACCACAGCGACTGGGTGGGTCACGGTGGTTATCATTAAATCGGGATCGTAAGGTTGGAATCACGTGAATCGGGCGGCATCGGGCAAATGGACGGAGCAGTTTCAGGCAACACAGGAGAGAGGATGAAAGGGAACGGAAAAAGGATGGTATTGGATGGCACGCGTCGATCCACGCACGCACGCGCACACGTATCTTTTTCTTGTACCTGGATCGCGACTGGGGTGGACTTCCGGTAACGAACACGTCGTACCAGAGGCCGGTCCCTCCGAGGTCGATCGTATATCGAGCCCCGCAACACGGCGACGCGCGTCACGAAGAGGCGGATTCTAATACGATGATGCCCATCTTTGGTGATCTTCGTTCGATCGAACAGCTCGCTTATCTCATCTTTCTTTTTCTACCCAAATAGCAGAATATATGTATTTTTATACGAATTATAAATATTAATAACGTAATAAGAATATTCAATCGCTTTCTCTCTCTCTCGCTCTGACCTTCCTTCGCTATTCCCTTCGACCACGTCGTCATCACCACGTTCCATAAATTTTCCACTTTCGTTTTCTTCATGCTCGGCTCTCACCGATATTCCTCCGTTCCTACGTTCCTAGTCATTAACCGTTCTATAACCGATATTTATCACCGACCTCGTTCCTCGTTCTCGTTCACCGATCAACGCGACAATCGTCAATTTTGCAAAGTCGGAACGCGTATTCGCGATGCGTGTGCCGTTCACGATCCAATGCTCGCTTTCGGTAGGTTTCACTTCTTTCGTTAGAAACTTTCGATAACTCGACGTTTTGGCTACGAATATCGCTCGCTCTACCAAAAAAAGAGCATCGGTGTTGTATCGGCGACACGCGACAAATCGGATGATAGAGCCGCGACCCAATTCTCTCGTTGCCAACACGTCCCTGCCAAATCGATGCTCTTGATCGCTCCTTACCGTCCCCGTGTCCTCGTAATTTGCACCGATATGCAGCTCGTTCCTTTTCGACCCATATCCGAGCGAAGAGGTCGAGAAGAAATTCGTGAAAAACTCTCTCCGGAATAGAAATCTATCGATATCCTCTCTTATATCCTCGCTTTTAAATTTGATACCTTATTTTTCTCTTAACAACTTCGACGCGGAATTTTTACCGCAAATTTAAAATTGAAATTCCGTAAAATGTTTCGAGGCGGAGGACGTCGAGGGGAAAGTGATTATCTGGAGGAGGAAGTTGGATGGAAGCGCCGGAAACTTTAGCAACGATCGACGAACAGCCTTCAATTATCTTTGTTGCGCGTTCGTTAAGCAACTTTGCAAGATTCTTCTGTATACGATTTCGATCTATGTGCAACTCCTCGGAACTCTCGCGGATAATATGGTTGAAAACGCGCGAGCGTTGTTTTAATTAATAATTCGATGAGTCGCGCACGCGTTCGTTAGAATCATTAATTGGCGTCGTTAGAACGTCGGAGAGCGTTTTTTCGCGGCCTGAAAGCGGCCGAGCGTGTCGATGGATCGCGCCTCTGACTTATTTATTCTCTTCGGGCTTAACTACCGGTTGTACACGCTCGATACACGACGGCGCCAGATACATAATTAAAAATATATCGAGTGGAAAATGCGAATGTAAATACGGAATGTAAACAAATTAAAAATAGTTGAAAGCATAGAGAGAGAGAGAGAGAGAAAGAGAGAGAGAGAACGAAAATCATAAATATGTCGATAATAATGAGATATATAATACAGATAAACGAAAGTTTAAACAAACAAAAATTCAAACTCAAATCTATTAAGAATAAATTGGATAAATGAATAAATATTTTATAACATATTCGAGAAATGGAAGTTGAAATTTCTTTCCTTCCTTTTTTTTTTCTGATAATAACAATGGGTTCCGTTTTTTGCGCTTCGACCCACTTCGACCGTGCCCAAGCATAGTCACTTGACTCACGTATCGCATACTTCGTGCTCGTCCGTCGGACAAGTCAGCGATTCTTACGCAATCGAACCGCACGCGACTTCGACTGAGGCTGAAAGTGAGAGAGACTTCCCTTTCGTACGAAAGATCGTAATGGGAGAGAAACTTGCACCTTCGTGTCCGACCGGAACAATCCTATTTCTCTTTCGCGACTCTTAACTGGCCAGTTTCTATTCGCATTCGGTGTTGCGTGCTGCGCTTCGATTTCTATGTTCCTCTATCGCGAAATATACTTTTCACACGTGTCATATCTAACTCTTTGACTTTTAACACTTTAAAGCTTGTGAAATATTTTCTCTTTCCAGTCTCGACGATTCACTCGTTAATTTCCCTAATTACGAAGTCGCGTCTCGAATTTGAATCTTTGCAACGCTATCTGATGTAATTCGACGCTTTTACGAACTTTTAGTCGAAGCGACTGTCGGTAAGCAAGATGTGCGATTTTTACGATGATCGGTATTAAATATTTTCAATATGTGTCTTAAATTGCAATTGATTGAAATTGTATTTGTAAAATCTATTAATCGTGAATCAAAATTCGTATCGTAACTTTGAAATAGCGATAGGACGATTATATAAGAAAATTACACTTGATCAATCGTGGGAAAGGAATATCGACTGTAGTTACGGTAGTTTATTTAAAACGAAACCGGATCGTTCAACACCAATCACGTAATGATAATATTTCAATTCGAGATAAATTCGATGCCATGACCCAAAATTTAATCGAATAATAAAATTGAAATCTTTCTAGACGAGTTGCTTTGCTTCGTAATGAAAGAGAGAAATGTTAAAAGAGAGAAATGTCCGATAAATCGCGATTAATGCAACGCACGATTGTCTTAATTCCTTCGATTAAAATTATGCACGTGTCGAAAGCGAAATCAATTACTTTAATTATACGGAGCGATTAAACAACATTCCTCTAATTGAAGTACATTTTCTTTTCACCGAGAAATGACTCAAAACGCCTCGCGTGTCTCTAGATCATTATTCAAACGATAATCCATTAAAATAGATGCAATTAATGCAACACAGCGTGTTTTACATATTATTAAAGAAACTTCCATTTAATTATAACGGTTTCAATAATGAATGTTTGCCTTATGCGTATTAATTGAACCTCTATAACGGAATTATAAAATTCTCAACAAAATTGTCCAAGAAATAGATATTTTTACACTCGTTAATCATAACTGGTATTTTTTTTTTTTAAAGAAAGTTATTATAACATATCGGCTTTCAATTATTACGATTCGTCACAGTTCGTTTCAAAATTTTAAATATCTTCATCTTTTCTTCGATGAATTTTTATAACTTTTCTTTCTTCTACAATACTTTGATATTTTACAATTTCCATAAATTTTCTATCTACCTTTAAAATTAAGAAAAAAAGAAAGACACTAAATAATAAATTCTTTGGAATATCTTTCACATTCGTAGAAAAAAAAGAGAGAATATTCTCTCCTGATGGGTAATGTCTGGAACAACGCGTGCATGGAAAAAATTAGCATGCACTGGGCATGAAAAAGCGATATCAAGGAACAAAAAGATATCAAATCGTTCACGGCTCCGTAATCATCGCGTGGTCTGAGATCTTGAAACAAAGCGTTCACGATCGACGGTGGGATTTCACGGTTTCCATTCCCTTTAAAATTTTAAAAATATCAATTTCGCTTTCATTCCTACATCGAGATTGATCCCGAACCGGTGGAACGCCGATTTCAAGATCACCACCATCGAGGAAAAGCAACGTCGCAAAAGGCGATAGAAGATCGTTTCGATCTTACGCTCGACCAGATCGACTCGTTCGTTGATCGAGTTATCGAGTTCTTTATGGATTCTTGATTCGATCTAAACAAGAGTCAAGTTCCTTGAACCGATTCCTCCTTGGCCGAGGCTCATCTGGACGAGAGTTTCACTCTCGATAAAATACGCGAAAGCGTACGCGTCCCCTCTAAGTGAATCTGTCTAACTCGTGCACAGCCTCAGGGATGGAGAACGAGTATATATAAAAGCTAGTAAATCTAAGATTGATTTACTTCTGTCTAGCGTCTCGACCCTGAGGAGACATCGTTACTAATTCATCCGTAGAATGGATCACGTGGTATGTACGTGTTGAAAGAGAAGCGAAATATTCGAATTTATATAGGCAGGATGGGAGACACGATGCGTTGTGAAATTGGATTTTTGGAAAATTTCCTCTTTTCTACTCCACTTTGCAGAAAAATGCAACGATCCTCCTGCTACTTTTCATGGGAACATGGTCCTCCGGTTATTCTTCGGTCGATCGGAAGCAAGATTTTGATTTCGAGGAAAGTTGCCATTCTACGATTGTACGGCCACAGAGATACTCGAAGCAAGTGCGAAGCTATCATATCAGGGAAGAAAGGACGGACGATTCTGTTCGAAAGAACAGAAACCGAGGATCAAGGTCTACGGAGACGGTCGAACAAATTCGTATGCAAATATCTATCCTCTTGAAATATCATCCTTTTCACACGTGTGAATTTTTGAACACTAATTAGGACGAGATTTACAGACAATTCGTACGAAGAGCCTTTAAAAGACCAGCAGGCGGAAACGGGAAACCAGTCAGAAGTCTCTTCCAATAGCGATCACGTAGAAATCGGAGAAACTTTGATGACGGAAAAAACTTACATCCCGGAGAGCAACGAAATAACATTGCTCGGGGTTCATTCCAAGGATCAAGTTCTGGATCATCACGAGGAGGCGCACAACAAATTGGTGACAGTGAAGAAAATACCTGTACCCTATCCAGTGGAGAAAACGATACGATACCCGATAGTGAAGAACGTGCCTTATCCCGTCAAGGTACCAGTACCCCAACTTTATCCAGTGGAGAAGAAGGTGCCATATCCGGTCAAAGTTTTCATCAAGGTTCCCCTCAAAATACCGAAACCTGTGCCAGTGGTCAAAGAGGTACCTTATCCAGTCCAGGTACCCGTGGATCGTCCGGTGCCTGTCAAGGTCTACGTACCCGAACCTTATCCAGTTGAAAAGAAGATCCATTATAAAGTAAAAGTACCGGTACCTGAACCATTCCCCATCGAACGAAAGATACCTGTACCGATAAAGGTACCCGTAGAGGTTATTCAACCGTATCCAGTCGAAAAGATGG